TAGAAAGCATGAAAGAGGGAAAGTGGAGAAAAGGGAAGAGAAAAGGGGACTGCGGGGGGGGGGGGGGGGGGGGGGGGAGAGTAAGGGAGGGGAAGAGAAAATATGAGAGAGGGGGGTGAAAGGGGTAAAGTTGGGGGTGAGAATGGTAGAGAAAGAGAGGGGGACAGAAGTGAAAGTGAGAGGGCGAGGTAGCTAAAGAGATGAACAGTACGCAGAGAAAGGTCATACACATGATTTTGATTATATCAGCTGAATTTGATATCACCAATATACTTGGGAGTGCATGGTATTATTCTGTTTTCCAGGAGGATAGAATCTAAATGCAGAGGTATATTATTGCTTAAAATTATGATATCCATATCACTAGTATATTGTTCCTAACATACCTGCAGTGATTCATTTGGTACCCCCCCCCCCCCCATTATTTAAAAGCAGGGAATTCAGGGCCTGACTTACATTGAGACTTGTCGCCATGGCAACAGGAAAGAGGAACTCACAAAGCAGTGAAAATATTAGATCTGAACAATTTGCAATATGGCATACATGCATTTGTTCTGAATTCCAGGTTAAATATAAACTCCATCTTAAATATTTGCATATTAAAAAGAGAGGGAGAGAAGACAAGAGAGAGAGAGAGAGAGAGAGAGAGAAAGAAAGAGAGGGGACAAGAGAGAGAGATGGAGAGAAGGAGAGGGGGTATATAGGGCAGTGTGTATATGGGGTACCCAAAATGACTAGGAAGGAGCAAATCTCGAACAGGGTGACATTTTTGCAAAGACATGTCTCTTTCACTACAGACAGTCGGAGCATACCTGTACAAACATCCCAAATTCCTCTCTTTTCCTCCAGAGATAAGAGTAGAGTGTGACAATCCTTTTTACTTTGAGACAAAACCAGACACAAGAATGACTCATCAACCTATTAACAGAACTCTTTTTTTCTTTCAAAGGCAAGCGTCACATTCTTTTTGATTTTTTTTTGTCGTCAAAGCCATGCTAAAACTCCCTCATCTATTATACCCTCATTTTCACACATTTATGAAAAGGTGTCTCCCTTCAAGCCCTTTTGTTCCTCTCTCTCTCTCTCTCTCTCTCTCTCTCTCCATCTCTCTGTCTCTTTCTCTCTCTCGGTGTGTACATTATTTCCCCACTTTCTCTTCTTTTTTTGTCCATTTCGGTTTTATTTCTTCTCTTTCTCTCTCCCTTCCTTCTCTCTCTCTCTCTCTCTCTCTCTCTCTCTTTAGTGTTCAAACATCACACCAGGTGACAGCTGGGAAGGCTCTAGCCTTACTCCAAGGTCTTCAGTAGTTTCTTATTTCAGTTTTTCACTCTTTCATGCTTGTGTGAAGGTTCTGAAGATCAAGACAAAAGAAGAAAAATTGAAGAGGTTTTGATGAAATGAAGGTTGCCAACATTTAGATAAAACTTTATAGACTTATACTAGATCTTCCTCTTCTTCGTCTTCTTCTTCTTCTTCTTTTTCTTCTTCTTTTCTTTCCTCTGTTGTTCTCCAACCCCATTCCTGTTTTCTGCTTGGCAAACAGAAGCCAAGTGGACATAGCATACACAGAGAAAAGGAGAAGAATATTTGCAAACAAACCAGTCTGTTACATACAACACTGACCACTCTGTAAATAAATCCACATAAAGCCCCCTCTTACTTGCAAGAGCCCAGCTAATGACCATCCCTTTGTATACAATAGCCCGTTATAACTACAGAACACTTTCTCATTAGTTAAGTTCATGAGACAATCAGTTATCAGTTGTGGTAATAACAGAACATAGCTGTATACAGTTACTGGCATAATAGAGGTGGCTCGAGAGTCCAGATTTTTTTTAAAGAGGGGGCATATTTGATATGCTGACATATGCACCCCAAAAAATGAAATAAAAAAAGTTGTCACCTCAAAATGATGCAATTGTTTGAAATAGATGTAGTATCATTCATGTTTGCTGAACAGTGGAGCTCGAAACAAGCAAAGACAAGCGGTACAAAAAGTCCTGAAACTATCAAAAGTTGGAAGTTTCAGGTTTGGTCTTCCCTCCAGTATCGATACAAGTTAGGCTACAGACAGAGTGCAGTGTACTGAAAAGCTACTTAAATGATTGGCATAACTGGCATCAGATAGCCTGTAGGGGGCAGCATTCCACTTTAGGTTCTGCATACATGTACATGGATAGCGTGCTCTATTGAAAGTACACACAGGGGTGACAAATTCTTTCGGTTTGTAGTTTTTAGATTTTTTCAGTCCCTCTCAAATGGTTCATGCACAAGAATAGTTCCAAAGCAAAAAGATAATCTCTTTATTTGCTTATTGTAATCTTTCTTTGATTAAATCTGGATGGAAGATCTTAAGCAGATGGTTTATTTGTTCTTTTTTTTGCCTATTAAACTATTTGTCAGAAACTGGACGTGTTGGTTTTTCTTTCAATCTCAGTTTAGAGATGTTTATCGTTATCCTTTTTCAAGCATCAATTTATGGCTGTCTTTTTTTCTTCTTTCTCTCTCTTTCTTTTGGTGTTTTTTGTTTGTTCTCTCTCTCTCTCTCTCTCACTTTTTTTCTCTCTCTTTTTTTTCTCTCTCTTTTTTTCTCTCTCTTATCTCTTTTTCTCTCTCTCTTTCTTTTGGTGTTTTTTGTTCATTCTCTCTTTCTCTCTTACTTTTGATTATCTCTCTGGATAAACAGGAAATGTTTCCAGGGCATGGTTAAATGGTAAATGTCCTTTCTCTACATTTGCATCAATGTGTAGGATTGGAAAATAAGATGAAAGAAATGATACCATTCAAGGTGAAGGATGGCAATTCACCTTAAGAGCGTGGAAAATGAAGTGAGAGAGAGAGAAAGAAAGAGAAAGAGAGAGACAGAGAGAGAGAGAGAGATTGGGGGAGAAAAAGAGAGAGAGAGAGAGAGAGAGAGGAAGAGGAGAAAGAACAAGAGAGGAAAAGAGTAAGAGAAGAAGAATAGAGAAAAAAGGAAAGGTGAAGAAAAGAAAGTAAGAGAGCAAGAAAGAGAGGAGAGGTAATGAGTAAGACAGAGATATTAAACATGAGAGAGAGATTGTGCGAGTGAGAGATATTAAAAATGAGAGAGAAAGAGGGAGAGAGAGAGAGAAAGAGGAGGAGGAAAGAGAGGAAAGAGGGAGTATACAATCTCTAATCCTCCGATACCCAATAAAGACAAATTATATTACCAGAAGTTACCCTCGAGCAAAACCAGGATAGAAAAAGGGGGCCAAATTTCCTCAGCGAGAAAGGAATATTTTCTTTTAATCAAGTACCGACAGCCCCTCTGAATACTAATGAACATAATTTGGTGGTTTTACCAGGGACCGTAGTCATTGTTAGCGAGCGGTCAAAAGCGGCCTTCCTTCGTTATTCGGCAACCCTTTCTTTCACCGCAACTTCACGCTTTTGACAAAAGGGGGTGGTTGCTGTACATGTTTATTTCTCTGTGTTTATACACGACAACAAAGCTTTGCAAGTTTTGCGTTCTGTTACTCTGAATGTAAACACGTTCGGTGATTTTGAATTGAATTGGAGGAAAGTATCACAGGTGTGTAATAAATATGGCTAATTCTTATTCATCGCACATATTTGTCTAATGCGGCAAGAAGGTTAAATATTTCATTCGAGAGAGGATGGAGGGAACTCTTTGAAATAGATATCTTCTTACTCTCGTTTTAATTTGTTATGATTGTAATGTGTATCAGAATATATCTATGAATTACAGCCATGACTATTATTTAGGGATATGAACTGGAACGCGTAATATATGGCAGTCTCTCCCCTCCACCTTCATTGTGGAAAACTCTTGAAAAGGCACGCAAAGTTAAGAACCATATATTTGAAGGATATCAAATGTGGTTGTGTTTGTTTATATTTTATCAAACTTAAGCAAGATGGAGCTGATCAAGGTCTTCAAGCCCAGACGTAGCATGATTTCTATCAATTTTTTTGAGGTTCGTCTAACGTGCTTTGTTCGTTCTCTGCCTTAGCGCTTACGAAACTGAACGTGACAGCCCTTCCCCCAATGATGTTGATATTGGAACTCTGAAATGTTTCCAAGCACTTCTTCTCCCTCCTTCTTGGTTCATAACAGAGGTGCTTATCCGGTGGACTTTCTCGTGCCGCGGGCTATAAACCTCGTTCGTGCCTTCATCGGCCGACCACGGGCTTATCCTACCGCCCGATCCTTTGAAATTTTCTTTGTGTCCCTGACAGAGCAAATCAAATTAAAACCTTTGAGTGTATCGTTCTTAATGGAAAGATTTTTTTTTTTAGGGTCACCCTGGTGCAAGAACGTGAAATGCTACGTGTGGGACTACATTAAAGGCTATTTAGAGATGAAATTATATATTACTCTTTGATAAAGAAAAAAAAATTATGAGTGAGACCATCCAAGACCAGAGATGTAGAATGATTTTTTTCTTTCTTTTTAGTAGAACAAACATTGTATTTCAAATATATTACTCATCATGGCAATTATTTGTAATAGAGGACTAATTCCTGTTCATTTTTCTTCAATGTTCGAACTAATTTTATCAACCCTAATTTCCTCACTTTTTTGAAGACTTTTGGTGTACAAACATACATCAAATTATGTATTCCTAATTTACCTTTGATGAATACTAATTTTGTTGAGGCTGGAAGGTATTAAGCACCTCGTAATAGCAGTTCAGTATTTGTTTGTTATTTAAACGTGGAACTGTGAATCAGAACATCTTTGTCAAATCCTATGATGGATATTCATTAACATTGTTAAAATTGAATTGGTTTCCTATATTGTAAAAACACATCAAACAAGCAGCTCCCAGGCTGAAAATGTTCAATTTAGAAACAAATTTAGAATATAGAGAGATATAAACAAATACAAAACTAAAATACATGTTGAAAGTAAACTTTTGCAGAAATTTTATAGCATTGGTAAGATAAAATCAACTCATTGTATTTCATTTTCTCTCTCTCTCTCTCTTTCTCTTCCTCTTTTTTTTCTCTCCCTCACAGTTTCACAAGCACCGGCCTGAATATCTCGGTTGAAATCAACGATCTGATTGACATCCAGTGCCCACAAACAGAGAATACGACCGAAGGCCGATTAAAAGCGCAATACCTCAAGTTTATGCAAGTCTCGTATCAGGGCTACGAACAGTGTTCGCTGTCAGCCAGAAACCGCCATCTCTTGTCCTGTAACCGTCCCTACGTCCAAAATAGGCTCACGTTACTGTTCCAAGAGCACACGCCCTATCCACGAGGTCCGACGTTTAGACACGGCGAAGAATACTATTTTATCAGTAAGTTTTCTTTCCCCGTTTCTCTCCAAATTCTGTCATTTTGTATTAAAGGTAAAGACCAGTATTGGAAACGCCCCCATTTCAAAAAATGAAATGGAAGCTCTCACTACCAATCATGTGAAATAATATGTTTTGACTAATACATGATGATACATAATTTGCCGGGAAACCGCCTACTAATTCATATATTTGGTAAATTTGTTTCTCTCATGGTCTGTGAGAGATATAGGGTAGTCCCATGTACATCTTTCTGTGTATAGTGCTTGTAACTTTACGAAGAATGGGCCAAATTTCTTATCATTTTGATGATTCCAGAACCTTGCAGATGCTAGATGCTAGATGATCAACCTTTTCTGATTGATTCCACAACGTTTCTTTCACAATGCAATCGCATGACCATAACTGGTCTTTACCTTTAAGCACTATGGTGCTTCATGTTTTTAACACTGTTTAAATCACTTGTTAAACATGAAATTTGACAAATTAACAAATGAACCATTTCCGCATGTTTAATTCCCCTTTTGTTACCCATAAACTCTTTGTTAATGAAAGTTTCTTAATAAAACACATGACAATTTGAAGAAAATAAGTTTTAGCAGACATATATAATGTTTCAAACTCTTTTTATTTTTTCCTTCTAAATTACATCTACATGTTTTAAAGCCATACTTTACTAAAGCACTCTCCTCTAGCACCATCTAAAGTCAGCCATAGTTATATGGTCCTGTACCTCGCTCCTTCCCTAGCTAGCTTCCATTTTCTCGCATCAAGTCCTCTGTTTACGAAGTGGAAATTAGGTATTCAGTTCGCACTGTTGGCAAGTTGACCATGAGATGGCGCTGTGCAATAAACAGTGCGCTAGGACAGAATGATAATTTGTTTAGTATTACTTTAACTGATAATTTCTTTGTTTTGTATCTTTCTCTATGCAGCAACTTCAAATGGTTCAGCAAATGGTATTGATAATTCAAGAGGAGGTTTATGTGAATCGCATTACATGAAGTTAAGAGTTTACGTCAAACCTAAACCAACAGGTATGTATCCCCCTCTAAATCAAAATGGTTTGATCCAACTTTAAGTGAAGTATGCACAATATTTGGCAGGATTCATTTATGGATAGGGTATAGGACTTTTTGTGCAGGTGGGTGATTTGATACACATTACACAAAGTTAAGAATTTACATCAATTCTAAACTAACAGCTATGTATCCCCTTTAAATCAAAATGGTATGATCCATCTTCAATTGAAGTACGCACAATTTGGCAGGATTGATTTTTAGATAGGGGATGGTATGGGACATGGATAACTCTCCCGTTTGTCGTTTACAAAAGAATAATTAATTTCTGTTTTTCTTCCTTGGGGTACTACTCAAGTATCAATGGAGACCATGTTTATCAGTTGCATTTCTAAATTAATTTGTACCAAAATACTTTGTTTAGCTGTTTAAGGGGTTAGGCTCAACTAGCACATGTGCTATTTTCTGGCCCCTTTTACCAACCAATAGTTTCTCTTCTTGTATACATGTCAAATCATTGTATGAAATGTATTGCTATTGGTAAATAAATCAAATCAAATCAAATCTAATCTAATCTAATCTAATCTAATCTAATCTAATCTAATCCAATCTAATCTAATTTCTATTTTCTTTTGATCTCAGCTTCACCCACCACCGGCGGTCCACCGACCACGCCCTCAAACTCGTCAACTCCACCCGACATTTCACGAGCCGCCACGAGTATGACGAGCAGAACAACGACGAGAGCGACAACAACTTTACGCACCACCTCCTTACCACCAACAACGACAAGAAGAACAACACGGTATACGACTGGTAAGTACCAGGGTATATTTCTATTCATCTATTCATTTGTGATAGTTTGTAGTAACAGTCTCAACAACAGCAATGTAGTAATAATAATATTAATCATAATGATAAATATTGATAGCAAATTAGCAATGACGATGATTACAATAATACCACTGGTAAGTACTGTGGTATATTTTTATTCATTTATTCATCGATGATAGTAGTAACAATCCCAACAACAGCAATGTAGTAATAATGATTCTAAACATAAAGATAATGATGATGTTGATGATAATAATAAATTATTAAAAATAATGAGGGGCGAGGAGGGGAGGGGGAGGGAAAAGGGAAGGGGAAGGGGAAGGGGAAGAAGTAGAAGAAGAAGTTGAACAAGAACTAGAACAAGAAGAAAGGGAATAAGAGGATGAGGAGGAAGAAGAGGAAGAGGAAGTTACTCACTATATACTTCAAGTTGTATGTGCTACATTATCAAGCTTTTCAGATCCTTTTACAATATATAATAGCTTTAACAGAACTTGACTTTATCTTTCATATGTAGCTATACATTTCCCACTCATGTGACTTCAAACAAAATACAATATTTTTGAAAGAAATATGAATAAATTTTCTCCCTCTTTTCTTCTCAACTTTTAATTCCTAAATTGCAGGAGGAAAGATCAAATCGACCGAAGAAGGGAACAATATCCCAGATAACATGACGCGGGGAGCAGCGAACAGAAGACACGTTTCCACGACCCTTCTCCTAGCGTCGTTGCTCGTCGCGGTCGTCAGATGGCTCCATCCGTGACCTTTGACATGTGACGTCTCGTACTTGTGAACTGTTTTTTTCTAATTTAAGAAACTGTAGTGTGTACTTCGTGCCTGTAGAGAAGAGAAAAGAGGGAATTGTCGAAGCCGAGCCGTCGACCTTTAACAAGAGATGCATTCTGGGGAGTTGGGAGTCTCCACTCCCGAGAGATCCGTGGTTTCTCTTCATAAATCTAACCCCCCCCCCTCCCTTCTCCTGTTCAGTCTAACAAACAAATTTGTATAGCTGTTGGAAGAAAAAACAAAATTAATTTATGGGCAACCCAACCTTGTAATGAGATCATTTGTATGAAAGCTAAAAAAACAAAGAGAAAAAGAATGGCGAAAGTTTGAAATAAATCTGATTAGACATAAACAGTTTGGAATAAAAAAATCATTGAATCTGGGTGTATCTCAAATTGGCAATTTAGGCAGTGGATTGTGATGTTGTCATATGAACAAGTCTTCTCTTTGTCATGTACAACATTTTGCTAATTTCTATTTATCTCCTAAGCGCCTTCTCCCTTCATTAAACAATCTGAAAATGGATACCTTGCTTCGTATGTACTTACAAAAACAAAGTCCTCTTTCTTCTTCCAAAAAAACTGATAATTAACTAACGTCTTCCATCAGCCAAAACCTGGACAAAATCTATTTGACCTGGAAAGTGAAGATATTTGAAATCTTTTAGAAACATAACGTTCGAATCGCAACACGTTGAGGATTATGAAATCATTCTTTTTCAATCAATATTTGCCATTTATGAAACTTCTCACCCATGAACATTGTTTTCAGAGACATTACAGTTTATTTAAACAATGAAGCAATACAAATTGTTGCCAGTTTGAAGATGATAGTGATCAATTTAGCCGTGAAATAAATCCTGTCTTGAAATGGTTAAAGCTATAGCCATTCATGACCCTGTTATCGCTCCCTGGATGCATCTCCTGTAGGTAGTCTATGTATATAGCAACAGAACGAGATTAAATACCAGGGACCCATTTCACAAAGCCTTTTTTCAATGACAAATGACAAATATCAGTGACGAATCTGCTGATAACCAATTAGAAGCAAGGATTTCAGTAGCTTATAACAACAAATGTCATTTGTCACTGATGACAAGTTTTGTGAAACACCCCCCAGGACTATGATCCTCTCCAGAACTTTTGTACTTAAAATATATAGCAAAGAGGATTAAATATTAGTACTACTAACAAATTAAATTGCACTGTGACTACTATACATTAACTCCTTCAAAAAAAGTTCAGCTACTCAAGTTTGAGCATTGATACCTCTCTTGTTACTCTGTTCTTGAACTTGGTGTTGGTATCACAGAAAATCTTGTTTATTCCCCTATACAAGGATGCCCCTTTACAAGGATGTCCCTTTACAAGGATCTCCTTTTTTAATTATGTAATCATGAAGTGTGCAGTACACCTGAATATGAGGACAAATCAATTGTTTATTCCTTTTTAAAGGTGAAATGTTGCATTGTTATTTCTTCTAAACACAATCCACCCTCCAAGCAAACGAAGAATCCACCGTTGATGATAAAAATGCTTTTTGCAACATTTCGCTTTTGACTTGGCCCCATATTCAGGTGTACTTCAAATTCCATGATTACATAACCATTGCAAATGGGGCTTCACCGTCATAAAAAGGAATAAACTGGCATTTTGATGATACTAACAAGACAGACATCAAAGTTAAAACATGAATTGCAGAACTTTTCGTTTGGAGGGGTTTAGATGACTTTTTGAGATTTCAAAGCCTTACTTGCTGAGGGGGAAAAGAATTGCATTTTTTGAAAACTTTTGTCAGAAATGAAATGACTCTCCTTGAACAACGAGTCGCATTTGTACTTCAAGAAATAATGTTTTATACTTAAATATGTATCCTTCCTGAAAAAGCTGCAATTTTTTTGGAGGATTATTACTATTATATGAGAGAGAGAGAGTGAGAAAAGAGAGAAAAACGGCATGAAACATGTCCGTTATGCTCTCGACGTTTTTGATCAACTTGCATTTCTAACTTGAAGAAAATAATATTTTGAATGACTATTTTGTACATACTTGTACATAAGAAATATATTATTGCACTTTTGTTATGTAAAAACTTGATGCTATAAAAATTGATTTTTTTTTTTTCTTCATCTACATTATACATCTCTTGTTCTGAACACTTTGTTTTTTCGTTTATGTTTTTTTGCTCTGAATTTTATTTATATATGCCAAACTTTGTGTATTATTTTCGCTCTAAATTTGTTTGCAAATGTCTCTTTTTTGTTGTATTTGATGTAGAACAGATAATGTTTGTAAAACTTGCAATGTAGAATACAATTATCACTTAGGAACTCAGAAATTGTGCTTCCAAAGCGTGTATACCCTACCTTCCTCAATAATGGCTGAGTCCATAATGCTATGGTGTGAATGCACATGTAGGAGAGTCCACTTAGTTTTTTAGGGGGTTTCACTTTGATTTAGAATGGAGGGGAGGAGTGGTGTGCAGCACAAATGAATTCACCTCTATTTTCCATACATCACTCTGTCTTTAAAAAACAATAGATTTTGATTATGATCGAATGGATTCCAACGTCGCTTCCTCTGTATTCTTCACGTTTTGAAAACGTGATTAAACAATTCAAAATGTAGACTTACGTGTATACTAAAGAACATTGAAGGGGACCAATTGCCAAAACCTATTTTGCTCTGAATATTTAGGTATCCATTAAGGTATCCTATATCCAAAATACCACCTGTCAAGAATATGTTTATTAGGATAAAAAGAAAGTTCAAATATCCTCAATTCAGTTTATGAATATTTTTGGGGTCTCTCTTGTTTGATTCGTAACTGAAATGTAAATGTATTTGATGGATGAAATTAATCAATGAATTAGTCAATTTAATTTCTTCATACTCCTTATTAAACTGAAAACCCACGCCCACACCAAGGTGGGGTAAACTTTGATATGTTATGATAAATAATTTATAGGTTCACAGCCAGAAGGAGCATTAACTCTGTGTTACAAGTTAACACCTTCCTGCCTTCCGAATGGCTCATATTTGATATTATTCTATACCTGCTAAATTTATGCAAATTATAGATTAGGTAATTGGTTCTCTATGGTGTAGACTTTTACTATACAACGCCAGTAGCAAACCAACCACATATACCTTGAAAATCATGTATTCTGGCCCGCACATGTATTCCTCTGAGTAGGACTGTACACTGTTTTTGTTCTAATTTGATACACTAGTATACTCCATAATAAAAAGATATAAACATCATGTCAACACTAACTTTTTTCTTTCTTTTTATTAACTTCTTTTAAAAATGGTGGCAGGGTTTATGCTGATATTTCTTTTTAATTGGATTTTACTGTATACTATATTGGTTGGGGAATTTATATGCAATTTACTTGATTTATTTGATTAATGAATCCTTTAGAATCCCACCATTGGTAATTGATGTAGGTTATAATCTTATGAATTTTGATTTTGATTTTGATTTATATTTATATAATCCATGACAAACCACCATGTAATTGACTTGATGTTTTATTTTGGGTATGTTTGATAGGAGGTATTTAGTTTATTGCGTTTATCAGATTAAAGTTCTGACACCTAAATCCAAGATGTTCCCACCTTTAAACCCTTGGTTGTATCAACCAAATACAGCCATTCTGAAATTCAATGGACTTCATGAACATGAAATTCTAAGGCCTGATTAGACCTTACCGATAATGATTACAATAAACTACCGGTATGCGTTTATATAATGAATGATAACGATTGTGATGAAATGTTCATACCTTAACCATAAAATAATCACTAGAAAATAATCTCCAAAAAGGTTGTCGCAAAGTAGAGGATTGCCAATGTTGGAAAGCAATGATTAAAAATATATAAAAAGATATTATGGTCATGAATTATAAAATATTAATGAAATATGAGATCATGGCTCAGGAACACACAATTTAGCAATTGATTATGACATTGATTGATCGATCATACAATGAATTAAAAATAGCAATCAATTGCTTACTTCTCAGTCGTTGTGTTGCAGGACCCATAATATTGATATTGCCCGCCAATGAAGGCATTTCCATTTTTCAAACCCTCCCTTTTTTTAAATCGCATTGGAACGTATAGTCAGTACTACTATCAAGTTATGAATTTTGAATTGAAATGTCTTGAATGTAAATTCCAATGTGTTTATATGTTCATTTTTATATTGTGAAACAATATATCTCTTTATGACTGTATATTTATTGACACGATACTGATTTGCAAGAGCTGTACAAAGAAAAGAAAAAAAATATGATATTTTTCACCTTTTTTTGTTGTTGGTTGGAACAAACATGGGGATATATATTATTGGCTGTACAAATTTTTTTTATTAAAAAAAATAATTAAAAAGAGAGCATGTGATTTTGCAATGCAGTAAGTTTATTCTTCTCTTCATATATATTTCAAAAGATACAATTTGTAAAGAAAATATCTCACATCTCATGTCATGAATTCCTTTTGTTTTTTGTGTTATTGAATGTAAAGTTCTGTATGGATGCATTTCTACATTTCATTTTGTATGTTTCTTCATTTCTTGTTTTGTTTCCATGACAACAATGTCCTCATCTTGACCCAATCACGACCTGTGTAGATTTCAATTGAACGAGCCATCACAATTTCTTTCTGTTGAACTTCAAAGTTCATATCTGGAGCTATTTTAGACAATTTCTGTAATTGTGTAGCAACTAACTCCCGTTGAAACGTGTCATATGACGCACATAAACCTAGGTTTGTCGACAAACCTCGGGCCTATATGGCTGTACAAAAACTGTATAGCATTTTGCTTTATATACAGTGATTCTTTATACAAGTTGCATTTGATTGGCTGCGAGCAAATTTGTAATAGTGATTTGACAGTTGTAGTTAACAGCAGGTTTAATGAAACAGGACCCTGCTATCGCTTTTGATACCGTATGTGTAAGAAAATCTCCACCTTTTAATGTAATACATTCAGTTTATTATTTTTGAATTGGTTTTCATTCATCTTTCAAGATTTGACTTGAAACTGCTCAAAGACCTCATACTATTTCTGGCTTTTTAGGGAATATTTTATACTAAGTCGTATCTTTGTGTGAAATACGGCTAAGGACAAAACGAGCATTATGTGAGAGAGAAAAAATGGTATCGTAGTGTGAGGAAATATATTGGTCACTTCTGGAAAGCATGTGAGAGGGGCAAATTATAAACCTCTTGTGACAGAATTAATTTATTGTATCACTGCACAAATTTGTCTGATGTTCCAAATCCTCATCAAATGTGTAAGGCACCAAAACATTGCTTCCAAAGGAAACCGCATTGAAATGTGATTTGCTTTCAAAATGTGGTTGTGTCAGATTCAAAACGTAAGATATGATTTAACAAATAATGGAAATTATTGTTTTAATATGCTCCTGTGTGATTTTGCTTTCAAAATCTGCTTGTGGTGGACAAGAAAATTTGGATCATTTCCTTTATTTTGTTTCCATGGTTATTGTGTATTGAATTGTACAAATATTTCCAGTGCATTGTC